AAAAAAAAAAATCAATAAATTACTAATCCTCCAGAGTGAAGTATCTAAGCTTTAAAACTCTTCCAGCCTTCCAGCCTTGCAAAGTTCCCTGATCCTATTTTATACCTTTTTTTTTTTTTTTTCCCTGCAGGATCCTGGATGGCTATCTTTCTCCTGATGGTAATTGATTGGATGCTGGGATAAAATCCTCCCCAGGATACCTCCTCAAACCCTAGTCATTGGCTTCTAATTTACTTGCCTCAAAGAGGAAGATTTAGGGAAAGGCAATAAGTCTGTCCTCTTGTTAGGAACCAGAGAGGTTGAAAATGGGATTAGGATGTGGCACAACAAATACCTTGTAAACTCAGCATTAGTTTGTGCTCCCTCATCCTGCCTTCTCCTCCCATTTCTGGGATTCTTAGGGGTGATTAAATTGCTCTAATGGTGGGGGAGGTATAGAAGATATAGCCAATAAACACCAAGGAATTCTACTTTGACTCCTTTCTGTATAATCTGATCAAAACCTTCAATGCTGCAGGTTGATGGGACTGAAGGACAAGGGGTGGAGGATGGGTGAAAAGTTACTTAATCTTGAGAATATTAGTTTCCACAAATATAAAATGAAAGTTTTTTTGGGGGGGGCGGTACCAGGGATTGAACTCAGGGGCACTCAACCACTAAGCCACATTCCCAGCCTTATTTTGTATTTTATTTAGAGATAGGGTCTCACTGAGTTGCTTAGCGCCTCGCCATTGCTGCGCCACCACACCTGGCCTTGTAAAATGAAAGTTTGACTGATCTCTGCTTCAACCTGGGAACTTTATATAATTCCAGAGAAATATCTAGGACTTTGGCCCCCTAAGTCCTCCCCGCACTTTTTTTTTTCTCCTGAAAAATGGACAGTGAGGGGCTGGGTTTGACTCAATGGTAGAGTGCTTGCCTAGCATGTGTGAGGCACTGGGTTCCATTCTCAGCACCACATATAAATAAATGAAATAAAGGCCCATTGACAAAGAATATTTAAAAAAAATGGACAGTGACTATTCAATTCCAGAATAAGCACTGAATGTTTTTATATAATATTATCTAAGCCTTCTTCTTCTACACCTTAATTATTTTTCTCCCTTCCATATAGGGTAGATACAGGTGACAGTGTTTATACTACTATCATTAATTTATTCAAAAATAGATCTATTACATACCTGTTGCTATTTTAAGCCCTGGGGATTCAACACTACACAAGACACAGTCTTTAACCTTCCAGAGAGGACAGTTGAATACAGAAAATAGATAGTGTGGGCCAGGAAAGAGGACAGGCTTTATTTAGTTGGCAGAAGTAGCACCTACACATGAGGTGCAATTTCATAAAATTGCAGAAAGGCATTTTGCCTTTTGTTGTTTTTGAAATGCTATTTTTTATTGATATCCATGATTGTGTTAGAAATTAATTTCCTGAGGAAAATGTTGGTATAAGCAACATAATAAAAAGTTAAACTTAACAGTCTTTTCTTTTTTGTAGTGCTAGGAGTAGAACCCAGGGCCTTACACATACTGGGCAAGTGTTTTACCCTGAGCTACAACCCCAATCTTCAAATTTAAATAACAGCTTTATTATTTCATATTCGAGAACATTTTATCTAGTACTTTAACAGTTCATGAAAAAAATTATGGCAAATGACCAATTTATGTTATTTTTTTATGCACATCAAAGCCATACATTTATTAAATCAGCATAAAATTAATTACATTTCATTGGGAATTCATATTGACTTTAAAGGTCTGGAGTAGACTGTTTAAACAGCCCTGCTGCTAATGCCTTAATCAGCTACTCAGGAAACTGAAGCAGGATAATCTTTGTTTTCCCCCTTCAATTCAGGGGATTGAACCCAGGGATGCTCTACCACTGAGCTACATCCCCAACCCTTTTAGTTTTAAATTTTGAGACAGAGTCTTGCAAAGTTGCTGAGGCTGGCCTCACACTTGTAGTCCTCCTGCCTCATCCTCCTGCCTCAACCTCATGGAGTCACTGGGAATCACGGGCATGCGCCACTGCATCTGGTCAGGAGGATCTTGTGCACAGAAATTTGAAGCCAGCCTGGACAATATCATGAGACCCCGTCTTAAAAAAAAAAAAAAAAAAAAGCGAGTGACTGGACTCATGCCTATAATCTCAGTACTCAAGAGGTTGAGGCAAGGGGATTGCAAGTTCAAAGCCAGCCTCAGCAATTTAGCAAGACCTTGACTCAAAAATTAAAAAAAGGGCTAGGGATATGGATGGCTCAGTGGTTAAGCACCCCTGGGTTCAATCCCCAGTACCAAAAGCAAATGACCCCCAAACCCCCAACCTTGCTTATGAATGCATTAGACTTTTCTTTTATTTAAAATATATCCTAAAGGATAAGGACAAAATATTGATTACTCTGTGCTTAAATATCAGAAAAAAATTAAATTAGTAAGACAGTACGAATGTTCTATTTGCTGAGTGCAAATGTAAATCTCAACACTTCCGAGTTTCTAGTTAGGTTTTTCTCCCTTTTCAGCATCACCTCTTCAAATCATCTTCATTTTTCTCAGTCCTTTATGCGTCCCCCGGTTCTCTCCTGCCTCACAGAAAAAACAGAGATCGTCAAGTCAGAACAGCAGTCTAAGTTGACTCCTTTGGACATCCAGCTTTAATATGCATAGTAACAAAGTCTTTTGGTCCCAATTTCAGAGACTGTCCCCTAAATTCATCTATCATGGCACACCCAGGTGAAGCTAGATTTACAGATAGTAGTTAGTGTAGTTAGGTAAATCGGGTCTAATATTGAGTAAAATAAATAAAATGGAGGCCACTATAGAGAATGGAGTCCCGAAAACAGAGTAGCATTTGGGGAAATTGAAATGTTAATGTCCCCAAGGCCTGGAGCCCATCCAAAGGAAATGTTAATGAAGCAGCTGCCAGCAAACTGGGAAATGCTGATCAAAAGCTGCCCCAAGCCCTTACTGCCCAGATTACTCCTCCAGCCCACCTATCTCCCACCTTTTGGACCTTCCCACCTGCATTCTCTCACGGCAAGATAACGGGAAACAAAGGACAGGAGTGTGGGAAAGCTGAAAGAAGACCTTAGCTATAAAAGAGGGAAGACCTCGCTCTTCCACGGATTCTGCCTTTAGGGTCCCCTTCTTCCTCCGGGGAGAAGTCTTTTCTGCTGTCCTGTAATAAAGCTTCTACTTTCCACTCTAAACTTGCCTGGCAGGCTTCTCTGGTGTTATACTTCAGCTTTCGGGGAAGCAAGGACTTGTCGGTAACATAGGTTCATTCTCCATTAAATCTGATAGACTGAGCCTCAACCCTAACTAGACAGTGACCCAGGCCACACCCTAACTCCTGGTCACAGCCTGGTCACTTGCTTTAGGAGGGAGGACTGCAGGTGGATAGAGGGAGGAGGATGAAGCAGGTTAGGTGGGATTCCCGTGTGTCCCATCTGCGCAGGCCCAGCAGGCCACTCCGGGCTTCATTGAGCACCGCTCCGCCTAGAGGCAAGACTGGGGAAGAGGCAGAAGAGAAGGACCGGAGCGGAGGCGGGCTCATGCGTAGAGAGATCCGTCGCGCCCTGCTGCGAGGCAGCGTGCAGGGGCGGGACGCCCGCGCGGCTTAGCTCTCGATTGGTCAGTGTAGGGCAGAAAGAGGCGGGAGAACCGCGCTTCTCGACTGCTAATTGGTCAGAGTCAGGGAGACGGAGGAGGGGGGCCCGGCGGCGCGCGCTCCGGGGCGCGCGACCTGGCGGGCGTGTAACGGCCGTTAGTCGAGCTGAGGGGCTGAACCGCCGCCTGAGGCAGACGTGGTGGTCGCAGTCAGTATCCGCAAGTGAGGGATTTCGCCGCCCGCTCTCAGGGCCGCGTAAGTTCTCCGTCGGGGCCCCAGTCGAGGTGGTACACCCTGCCTCTCCTTCCGGAGTCCCGGCGAAGCCTTGAACACTCGCGACCTCTCTTCGTGGGGAATCGGCAGCGGGAGCGCATGCGCAGAGCAACGGAGCCGTAACCCGCCTCGGGTCTCTGCCTCCCCTGGCTAAGATCATGCCCCTGGCTCACCGCTCCTGTGCGGGTGGCCACCCAGCCGTCGTTGCCGTGCTTTCTCCTTGCCTTTCACTCGAAGCATTTGCCTTACCTGTGAGTCAGGCCTTGTTCCAGTGGCCGGGGGAACAGCGGGCAGCACTTTCCTTGCCCTCGTGGAGCCCACGGTCCGTGGAGAAGAGCAGACGTTAAGCGAGTAGTATTCAGTTGGCACTCAGTAAATGCAGGGGGAAGATCTTTTACAAAGAGCACACTACAGAGGCGCTCGTCTAGTTAGAGCGATCAGGGAGCTCTCCCCGGGGAAGGGAAGTTCAAGTTTTGAAGAATGTGTAGAGAATTAAAGTTGGGGGACCGAGAGCACTCGGGAAGGCCTTAGACCCGAGCCCCTGAGCCCGGGCGATTCTGGAAACTGTCCCGACTCTGGAATTGCTTCTGGCATCCTGAGACGCTACTAAACATCCTGCAGTGTTCAGGACAAGCCCCCACATCAAGCAAGGTGTCAGTAGTGCTGAAGTTGAGGACCCCTGCTACAGCAAGTTTAGTTCAAGTTTGTCTGACAGCATATTCAGCACCTAATTTCGCCCTTGCAAACCCGGAGAATCAGAACCGTTTGTCTTTACTCTGAGATACACTTCCAGTGCGTGGCACGATGCCAGGCAAATAGTAGGTGATCAGTACAATTTGGTTAATGAATTGAATACAATATGCTGGGTAAGAAGGAGTTGTAATACAGGGTAATTAATATAACTGGACTTGATTATTTTCTCTTAGGCCTTGTCTGCTTTATAATGGGCTGGTGGTTTTGTCTCAGGACTTGTTCTTTGTAAAGGCAACTTCATGGCAGGGATTTGACTTCTCTTTCACTATGTCAGTTTAATGAGTGATCAAGGCCATGAATATAGTGTGATGGTGTGAGATTCTTAATGTGTCTGTGTCAGCTGTCTGTATATCCCTTCAAATCCTCTTCTGTCTTGATGTGGTTCTCAACAGCTGCTGAGCTTGACATTTCACACCAAGATTCTAATTCTTCAAGGGGAGAAATATATTTAACAGTCATAATCTAATTCTTAGGTAGCAACATGGTAAGTACAACCTGGGTGATGAACAAGGGCGAAGTGAAGAAATTATATGACTGTCCCTGACTGTCCTATTTCAAGGCTTGCAGCTCTGGCTGTCAGAGGCAGATGACTTTTGATGCCTTAATAATGCCCTTCAGTTCTTTCATTTGTGTTTTGTCACACACAGAAAAAAAAAAATGCTGATTAAACTCCTAAAGTTTTGTAGCACAGTTCTGGCTTTTTGTTTTTTTGACAGGGTCTTATTACTTTGCCCAGGCTGGTCTCAAACTTGCCATCCTCCTGACTCAGCCTCCTGTGTAGCTAGGGTTATAGATGTGTATCACCACACCAAGCTTACAGTTCTGGCTTTTTAAAGCCTCTTCCTAGTTGTATGATCCTCATCAGTCTAAACTGTTATTTTCTAATCAAATAAAATGAGAATAACTGCCTCATAGGATTAATGTGAGCATTAAATATATATATAAAGTATTTAGCACAGTGCTTGATAAATAGTAAGTGCTAAATACATGTTAAGTTTGTTGAATAAATATTTTTGTGATCCAAAGGGCTTTGAATATAGAAGCCAACCATGTTGGGTGCTTTTTTTACTGTTCCCCTCCATTCAGTCCTACCTTTTGGGCTGTAACATGGTTATTTGTATTATTCCTTGCACATTCATTTATCCCATTTTTATCCCAGAAAATATCGGTCTTGCGGTTTTAGGACCACTCCTTCAGTTGGTCCTAAAAATGTCTACTAGTTGATCATCTAATTCTGAATTTAGTAGGAAAAAAATCAAGAGTTACTTATTCTGTATTATTTTTTGCCTTATAGGTGCACTTTTTAAAAAAATATAAGTCACATGCTATAAAATTAATTTTACTCATGCATAAATCAGTGATTTTTATAATGTATCTAAGCCTGTTCAATCATTACTACCATCTGATGCCAAAATATTTTGATTATCCTGAAAAGAAGCTTATAACCACTAGCAGTCACTTTCTATTTCCTATTCCCTTCCTCAGCGCTTGGCATCCACTAATCTGCTCTTTCTGTGGATCTGGCTGTTTTAGACATATCATATAAATGGGACCATGCAGTTTTTTGGCCTTCTATATTTGGCTTCTTTTCCTTAATAATATTTTCAGTGTTCATCCATGTTTTAGCATGTATTAATACTTAATTCCTTTTTATGACCAAATAATATTCCATTGTGTGGATATAACACATTTTATTGATCCTTTGTTGGTGGACATTTGGGCTGTTTGCATTTTTAGCTATTGTAAGTAATGCTGTTATGAATATTTGTTTACAACTTTTTGCATGAACATCTATTTTAATTTTTCTTGAATACACCCACTGTATTTGTGAGTTTTGCATCTGCAGATTCAACCAACTATGGATTGAGAATGTACTCAGTGGGACTGGGGATATAGCTCAGTTGGTAGAGTGCTTGTCTTGCATGCACAAGGCCCTGGGTTCAATCCCCTGCACTACCAAAAAAAAAAAAAACAAAAACAGAGAATGCAATTAGGGATTGTTGAGAATGGTGGTGTATTCCTGTAATTTCAGTGACTTGGGAGGCTGCAGGAGGATGGCAAGTTCAAGGCCAGCCTCAGCAATGTAATTTATCAGGACCCTGTCTCAGAATAAGAAGGACTGGGGATGTAGTTCAGTGATAAAGTGCCACTGGGTTCAAAAGAAAAAAATATATACTTGAAAATAATTGCATTTGTACTGAACAAGTACTACATTATTTTTGTTGTTGTCATTATTCTCTAAGCAATTTATATAGCATTTATATTGTATTAGGTATTATAAGTAGTATAGAGTTGATGGTGATGTTTGTTTTTGAGATGGGGTCTTGCTATTTTACCCAGGCTGTCCTCAAATTCCTAAGCTCAAGTGTTCTTCCCTCCTCGGCCTCCTGAGTAGCTGGAACAGGTTCACATCACACACCTGGCTTCTAGAAAATTGTTTAAAATGAACAGGAGGATGTACGTACATGTTATATGCCAACACTATTCTATATAAGGGATTTGAACATCTGAAGATTTTAGTATCTGTGGGAATTCCTAGAATCAGTCTCCTTTGGATTCAGAAGGATCACTATACACCCAAGAGTAGAATTGCTGAGTCATAGAGTGATTCTTTTTTAACTAGGAGTTTTCCTTTTGTTACCCTATTCTCAATTCATCTTAATTTGGAAAAGTCTCAGAATCTATCAGGCCTGTGATTTTGTTATCTTTCAAAGGAGGGGTAAAGGAAAGGATGTTTGATGTTGACAGTAATCACTAGTATGTAGGTAAGGAGGCTGTGTCATCATTAAGTCACTGGCCATAAATTAAATAGCTAGCCATAAGTAGAAGCTTTTATTACTACTTAAAGAAAGCTTCTCTTTCCTAGGAAGAAGTGAGATTTTGGAGGATGGTACCAGTCCTATTAATGCAGTGAATTAGTGACTACTTGGGTTGTTGTTACTAAAAGAAAGCCGTAAAGGTCAGTAAAACATTAGAGAATTAGTACCATTTATCCCCCACCTCCCCCTTTTTTTTTTCCCCCTCTCAGAGTTGAATTTTATCTCTTAAGAATTGTGTGTGAATTGTCCCAACTTCTTTTGGGGCTCTTATAAATTCAGAGTTTACAAATTCATATTTCCATGTCTTTCAGGGACTGTACTGTGTGACACTTTTTGTTTTATTTATTTTTTATTGACACAAATTGCCAAGTAATAATAATAATAAATAGGCACTTGTGATGTGTCAGGCCTTGTGGTAAGTTATTATAAATCACTTAATATGAATTAGGTTGTGTCTTTATCACTTTTTTGGTGGGGGGGTGCCCGGAATTGAACTCAGCATTGAACTTGGGCATTTGACCACTGAGCCACATCCCCAACCCTATTTTGTATTTTATTTAGAGACAGGGTCTCACTGAGTTGCTTAGTACCTCACTTTTGCTGAGGCTGGCTTTGAACTCATGATCCTCCTGCCTTAGCCTCCTGAGTTGCTGGGATTAGAGGCATGTGCCACTACACCCAGCTTTTATCACTCATATAAAGAAACTGAGGCACAGATGTATTGAAATTTTTGCCCAGTGTTGTACAGCTAACAAAACCAAAACTGGGAAGTTCAGTGTGTTCAAGTATATTTATCCACATTTCAAATCCAAGTGATCTGAGCCCATGCTCTGAACCACTTCCCTCAAGTATGGAAATATAAGATACTATTATTTGTTTTTGCTAGTTATAACTAAACAGTTTTGTTTATACAGGAATTAGACTCTGCTGAATTTTCAGCACCTACCCTTAAGTAGAAATGTTTTAAGAGATGGAGAAATGGGAAGAAAATGCCATGTTCTGAACTAAGGATCAGAATTATTCTTATGACCAAGAATTCTGCCTATTTCTGTGCATCAACTTTGATTACTGAAGGAATCAGGAGTTTGTTTTATGTTAATTATAATTGTGGCTATAATACTTCACTCTTAGTTGGGTTCTTTAGTTCTTTTTTTACCCTACACTGCCATTATGTACCCCATGGCTAAGAAAAGCCACAGTTAAGTTTGTTGATTAAAAGTAATATTTACTAAAAATTACAACAATGGGCGGGCTCTAGGACCACACGGGATTCATATTGGGAATCTGTTTCTATGTTTTCTCTACTTGCTTTAGGAAGATAAATAGGGCAGATTATTGGGAGTTGGTTTCTTTTCTTTTTTGTCTTATTTTTTTGAGACAGGGACTTGCTCTGTTGCCCAGGCTCATCTCAAACTTTGGGGTCAAGTGATCCTCCCGTCTCAGCCTCCCAAATAGTTGGGATCATGTCTGACTGGTTTGCTCCCCTGACTCTGCTTATGATTCCCACCCCCCATATTATTTTATTGGTTCATCATAGTAGTATATAATGGT